TGGCTCCTTCCTCTGGCCCGGATTTGGTGAAAATGCCCGCGTGCTGGAGTGGATCTTCAAGCGCTGCAGCAGGGAGAGTGAGGATGAAGCAGCCAAGAAGAGCATTATCGACTGGCTGCCAGTAGATGGCGCCGTCGACACTAAAGGTCTGAGTGGCAACGTGGATATGGGTGCTCTGTTTGACGTGCCTGTTCCTTTCTGGCAGAAGGAGACAAAAGAGTTGAGAGCTTACTTCACTCAGCAGGTTGGAGCTGATCTGCCAGCTCAGGTGGAGGCTGAGCTGAAGGCTCTGGAGGACAGAGTGAACACAGTCAGTGATTTTAGTGAAAATAATCTACGATGCAGATCCTACACATTGACACTACTTGACATGAATGCTGCATCACTGAGGGACAGGTTTGCTTTGCAACATGAAGGTTAGATTTGTTTGTAGTTGTTAAACTTGTCATTAAGAGAAGCATATGTCTACCTCTATTCTCTCACATAACCTGGCATGGTCCTGAAGCCCAGTCAACCTGGCTCTGTAGGGCCTTTGTGACATTTAGCAATACAGTTTCTAGGCCTCTAATGTTTACAGGCTAATACCCAAAGATTTAGTGAAATTCTGACAGAGATGGATGAGTTTTTAACATTTTATTTACAAAATGATTTCAAATGAATTTTAAGCATCAGTTGTTTAAAGATGCTTTATTAAAAGTTTAACAGAACACTCTTAATATTCACATATACACAAAATAAAAAGTCCTATAAGTAGTCAATATATTAATTCATGTGCCCAACGAATACTATGCATAATCCATTTTGCCACTTTTGTAATGTTTGTGATTCAATTCCTTGATTTCAGGTGATGTTTACACATAAATATAAAATGTTGGACCAATAAGTGCGACTGAGATTATTAGGTATTTTGAGGAGACAAGGTTTTTATTACAGTGCAATGAATAAATATCTTCAAAAGCAGAAGCTTTGCCTCGTGCTTATTTTTGAAGTTTTTTAAAAAATACAAATAAAAACATGGGAAACAAACAAGGTGAGAAAATGGAAATAAAAGAGAAGTGATGGAGATTTAACATGCCTCGTCAAAAACCATCAAATTAAAGCATTTTACAATAAAACTAAACATTAAATTAAAGGTTAATAAAATAAAGTAAATGTGGACTGCAACTTCTGTATGTTTTAGTTGCACATATACAAGAGGCTGAATATTACACAGCAACAAGATTTCAGTCAGGACCCCTTTGTCAAGAAAAAATACTTCATTGTAATTATTTATATTTGGCAGTATGGCTCTGGTCTGGGATCTCCCTGCCCTTCCACATGATAACATGGAAAGCATAAGGCAGGGAGAGAAGCAGCAAAGCCAAACAGAGCAGGCATCAATGACAACAGCATGACATTGATTAAGTCTGGACAGCATGAAAGGAGGAGCTGGGGTGGAGGAGAGTTGCAAATGCGGCTTGCAGAGGGAGCAGCAAATAGTAGGCACGTTAGAACAGTTAAAATAAGGTGTCATAAGTACTATTTGGCCAATTTTAGGATCCTTTGAAGGAAATCAGCTGGCCATCAGCTGATGAGGTTTGGGTGAGATCAGCTGTTACTAAAACTCTGGCATGATAGTAGAGTGTGACTCCGTGGTCTTCCTGACCTAACGCTGTGCTCAACTAGATAAAACATGAGCTGTAATAAGTAAAAAAAAAATAAAGTTGTATAATGAAACTTAATGAAATGCATTTAATCCACTCATTTTCACTTGAGCGTAGATATCTTCTGGACCGTCAGCAGGCTGTGTTCGGCTGCTTGCTGGCTTGGACACTTTGACCTGTGCATACAGTGTATCCTGCTGCTGTCCACTGTCCTGCACTGACACAGAGAGCTGTTCAGGTCCTCGCACTGAAAAGTTGATCTCCCCGTAATGGATGGTTTCCTCTGTTTCATTCGGTGCTTGATAAGTAGCCAGTACACCATCTCCTTGACTCTGAAATCAAACAAGAAAACATCTTAAAGGCAGGTGCTATGTTGTCTCCCTAAGTGATAAAACTTTTGAGGAGAGCCGTCCAGGAGTTGATTTTTTTGAAGTTTGTCTCAATAACTCATATATTTGCAATCTAAAATGATAGTCATGTATTGTAACATCTGGCAGTCACTTAAGGTAAATATTTTGTATCAACTTATCTCTATCTAACAAAGCAAACTGTTAATGCACAAATTTAAACCAAATATTCACTTTACTATTCTTTATAATGATGCTAGGTGAAAAGTTACCTTGATGAAAGAAATCAATATGTACAACTAAATAATCCAAATCTAAAAGATTAAAGGTTACTTGTGGGGTTCCTCAAGGGTGGGTTGTAGGTCCTGAATGTTTTTAATACTGTATATTAATGACATCTGTGAAGTTTCTTAACTTTTAAAATGTGTATTATTTACTGATGATCTTTACTGCTCTGGAAATATCTGCTTCTGAATACAGTGGAAAGTGCAAAATAAAGTTTAATTTTTGGCAACTGGAAACTCAAAAGTCAAGTTAAAATCCAGATCAAAGATGTTGCGATATAGAAAGGGAAAATGAAAACACATTTCATGGTGGGATCATTGACGATAAACTTTTTTTGAAGCTGCATAAAATTAAATCTAAAATGTCACATTACGTTTTCATATGAAATAAAAGTGAGGATATTCTGCATCAGAGCTCATTATATGACCGACTGTGTGGAGGTATGAGGTACCACATATAAGAACAATACCTGTTTATTGTTTAGTTAAAGAAGAGAGCAAAAACAATGTTTGTAGATGTAGCTATAGTGTGAACCAACCAATGCACCATTTATACATTTATATGAGTTTATTAGTAGAAACTAAAAGAGCACGGATACCGGTAATATACAAATGACAGGCTGTCTTGTTTTTTGGCTTCCTACTTGATTATTATGAAATGTTTTTGAACTCCAGTTTGTTTTATTTTCTATGAAATGTTTGAAACTTAGTTTTTTTAATGGTGTTATTTAAATGTTGAAGTTAAAGGGTTAACAAGGTATAGACAGTAAACTTAAGTTTCAGCCTACACCTCTTTGATTTGTTTTATGTATGTATGTTATTTTTAACTTGAGTATAACGTCTATGTAGATCTTTATGGAGATAAATAATCACTGATTGAATAAACTGCTACTACAACTCATATTTCCACCACCAGCTGACCTCTGACATATTGCCTGCTTAGAATAAAGACTTTAGCTTTCTCACAGCAGGACACAGTCAATGTCAACAGATATATTAAAACATAACAGAGTGTTCAGTGTTGAAGTATGAGTTAAGTATGTTCCCACCGGGTTCTGTTGGGGAGTTTGATGTTTCCTCTTTAACCACCTGAAAGACAATAGAGATCATGGTTATACTGTGTCGGTGAATTAGAGTGTGTATAGAGACTTAATGAACTAGTCCACATGAGGAGATACTTCTGATTGGAAACTAGAAGATCAAAGTTAGGAAACAACTTTTTTTCCCTTTTGGGAGATTTATTCATCAGTATAATGCAAAGGCACTGCTCCTCTGTTGGAAACAATGACAGCAGATGACAGACTCATTTATTTCCTGACTAGATTTGTGATACTTACCAAATACAGACAGCGAGGCAGACGACTACGACAATGATCCCAAAAGCTGAACCCCAAAGAGGAGAAAGAGGAGCATCAACAGGTTTCTCTGTTCAGTGAAAAACAAGTGGAGCTGTTGTTATTTTTATTATTATTAATGCTTTTGTTGTTGTATTAATAATAAAAATAATAATCATTAATATTATTTCTTAAATTATTATTACTATTTTATTTCTGTGGTATTATTAGTAATAAGGACAAAAGGTGTTTTCACCACAGGAACTTTATCATTGTTCTAGGAACTGTTTGAACCCTCACCTTTTTTATTGATTCTGCACCGCAGGAACTATGAACTATTTTAGTTCCTAGAACCCGTTAAGAGGAACCTTTTTCAGCTCCTGCTTGAAAGTAGGTACCCTCCCAGCAGGGCCGCCCCTGGCCAAATTGGGGCCCTAAGCAGAATTTTATTTTCAGGCCCCCCCCATAAAAAAATGACTGTATCACAAAATGCCATTTAGGTTTACAACCTTTATTAGTAGGAACAGATCAAATGAACAGCCTCTATCAACAATGGAACAAGCCTTTTACAGATGCACACGTCTGCATTTTCTGGATGCAAAGTCATCAATGAGGCCGTCATATGACAGCTGCTGTGCCACTTCTGAGTTGATGCTTATGATAGCCAGGCCACTCAAGCGTTCTTGCGCCATTGATGAGCGGAGGTATGTTTTGATGAGTGACGGGTGACGTGCTGGGTGAGGCTGCTTCAGTAGACATGGTGCTTGATGGCCCTTGTGACGTACTGGGCGCTGGCTCCATGTCACCTTTAGTAACAAACTTCAGCATTGGCCCTGTTATGACAAGAAATCCATCATACAAGCAGATTAGTAAGATTTTTTTTGGTCTATATGGTAAATTACACAATGAAATTAATGTAAATACTAGCCTCACAAAGATTAAAATGCAATTAATGCAAATATGACTACAACTAATAATAATATTTATTATGATTTGATTTGATGATATTTCTATATTTCAATATTTTTATATACTTATTTTTACATTTTGTATTTAGGGTCTATATTCCTACACTGCTGTTTGCTGCTGCAACGCTTTAAATTTCTCCATTGTGGGTCAAATAAAAGATTATCTAAATGTATCTTATTTTATCTAATCTTATATGACTGTTATGAATTAAATTCACCAAGAGATGGCGACATTTTACCTCCATAAAAATAGCCCAAAACTTCTATTGATATCATAGATTGATAGGCTATAAACCTGAGCCAACATACGACCACCAACTGGTCAATTAACCACTCCTTTTTCAACAGAGGTGAATGTATATGCAGTAAACAAGACATGCAATAAATGATAATCAGGGCCGCTGGAACATTTAATCTCCAGTCCACATCTAGACAGAATGATCCTCTCTTCTGTCTCATGATTAGCAGGCTAGCAGCTGAAGTGTTTAAGCCACAAAGTTTTTCTTTTTTATTTCAACAACATACCCACCTTCAAGTGAAGCACGAGCCTCCTCTGGTTTTTACTTTTTCTTTCTTTTGCTTGCTCCTGATCCATATTGTCGTTTGGAGGCCATCTCTCCACCTCCATCCAACTGCCTGTCGGCGCATCTGACCGCTGATTGGTCAAATGCTGCGTGCTGTCAATCATTGCGGCAACGCGTGCAGCGTCAGATTACTCGTCTCTTTTTTTTTCTCTCCTGCCTCGGGCTGACTTGTTGCTCTACGCTCGCCTCACTGCAGTGATGCGCATCCTATGCACATTTGTAGAGAATGCGTCCCCTTGCGCAAAATGGGGCCCCCCGTGGATCGTGGAGCCCTACGCACAGCGCGTGTTCTGCGTGTAGGGAGGGGCGGTGCTGCCTCCCAGCACAAGAGGGACTTTGAGTGATGTAAGTGCACGTTGATTGGTACATGCTTTATGTACGTTGATTGATGGAACATAAGAGCTAATCCAGTACTACAGTAAACGTTAGCTAATTAAAAGTGTTAAAAATTCCTTATGAATTCAACACAAGGCATTTTCCTCCCACAGGAACTTATTCATAGTTCTTGAAACTGTTGTTCACCCCCAACTTCATGAATTCTTCATCTCAGAATCTATTAACTATTTTAGTTCCTAGAACCCGTTAAGAGGAACCTCTTTAGTTCCTGTTTCAGAGTAGGTACTCTCCTAAGAGGGACTTTGAGCCATCAGTCGGCCCCCTCTGCAGGCTGACTGAGGTAGGGTAGGAGATTTTATTAACTTGTTTATTTTTGTCTCTCTATTCATTCTTTATCTAGTCCAAACTTCTCTTACACTTTACTTCTTACATTTTCTCCTCCCACACACACACATGAACACACACACACACACACACACACTGTTTAAACTGTTTGATACCAATGCACTAAAGAGGGTACATTCAAAAAGAGATGAAAATAACCGACCAAAACACACAAACAGAAAACAACAAAAAAGAACAAATTAGAATAAAAGAAGAGAAGCTTTTTCACTTCTAGTTTTTACCTGCAACACTCAGATTGATCTGTGGTGATGTCTGATTACTGAGATCATTCCTGGCCACACAGTAATAAACTCCTCCCTCTGTGGCATTAAAGCTGGAAAACTCTCCTTCAGATACGATCATGGGTCCATCTCTGCTGATCTTGAACCAGGTGAAGCTGCTGATAGGAGGATTGGCTCTGCTGGAGCAGGTCAGGTTCACATGAATACCTGCTGACACCAAACCTGATGGACTGATGGACACTGAGGTGTTTTTAGGAGAATCTGAGGAAAATGTTAGATAATTGTATTTCATTAAAAACAGCAAACATCTTTAAAATCATCTCATTCTGACAGGATCCAATAACAATCTCTGGTTGTCTCACATGAAACTCTGAGAGTCTGTGTCTCCTCTGCTGTCTTGACTTCTTTTCCTTCATTCACAGGATATGTGGCAGAACAGGTGATGTTGTATCCATCATGTTTGTCCGTCAGAGTGATCTGCTCCTGGATTTTAGTCGTGAAGGTTTTATCTGGGTTTTCCTCCATGTTGTTGAGAGAGTCTTGTTTGAGAGTCCAGGTGAGTTTAGGAGGGGAGAGTGGACAGGGAGTGGAAGCTGAGCAGGTTATAGTGACAGACTTCTTCTCCTTCAGATCTCCTGAGATGATTAGTTTGGGGCTCGGAGGAGAATCTGTGTGTTCAAATCAAACAAAGATTACTTTAACCAATAGACTAGCTGACAGTGACTGTCCTTTCTAAAATGCTTTTCTACTATACTCTTCCCAAACTTCCAGCCACCGCCTGTCATCATTACCACGTTAATATTCTGTCATGGAAACTTCATGGAGAAGGTTTGTAATGTCATATATAAAAATGTGTGTGTACTTTGTAAAAAGAAAGGGTAGGATACTTATCATTGTTACATTGTTGTTGTTTTTTTGTGTCTGTGCATGTATATGTTTGTGTGTGTATGGGAGAGGAGGGGGGAGGGGTTGAAAAATGTTACAAGGAAAAAATGGTCCTAATGATGTTAAGACTAAAGCTGACAGCACTGTAATTAAAAACTTTAAATTAAAATGTTTTTCTGCTTCTTAGTGTGCCAAGATTGGACCCTTCAATCTCAACCAGTAAAAAGAGTCTCAGTATTTAATCAGAGTTCAACTCGTGCTATGACAATGATTTATTGTTTCTTAATAAAACTTTTATAGTCTGATTAAAAGAAAATGAAACTCTCTTACCTTTGACTTTTATTTGAAGAGGATCACAAATAGCATTTGCCATGAAAGGCCAGTTCATGATTCTGAAGTAGTATAAGCCTTCATATGTCGTCTTCATGTTGTAAATCAGAGTGGTGCAGTTTTTCATTCTCAAGTTTCCAGTTATCTTCATTTGAAACGTGTTCACTGTGCCACTACTGTTAAAAACCACATTCTTTGGTATGGTCTCTCTGTCTTCTTTATGCCATATTCCAAATGTTTCTGTTGTGTTGTCAAACTCTTTTTCTTCTTTAACACTAAAGCTACATGGGATTTTCAGACAAGTTCCACTCAGTGCTTCCATCTTCTTTGGTGTAGTGATGAAGAGATGTGACCTTGTAGTCCGACAATCATCCCACGCTTCTGTAAAGCAGACCATCAGTTATTATAATGTGGAGCAGGATCTTCATATAGAGGATGTTAATGAGAGTCTAAGAAGTAATGTGGTGTGCTCTGGTCTTTTTCTCTCTTGTTCACAAAGTCAGTCTAAAACATTTCACTTTTCAGTCAGGACATGAAGAGATGAAAGAAGAAACTCTATCTGCACTCTTCTCTCTGCTTTGTTTCTACAGGAAGTTCAAACTGTACAGATTAAACATCTTTGAATGAAAGTAAGTGAACAAACAGCTCACCTGAAAGAGAGAAGACAGTCAGTAACATGATGGCTGTTACCATGTTCACTGACAGGACTGCAGTAACACCCATCACCTGGAATTAAAAACTAAGTTACTCTTCAAAGTCCTCGTTAAAGAGTTGGATTAACAAAACAGTCATTTTCACTTAAAGAAAATAAAAGCTGCTGAAAACTAAAACGATAAAACATAAATAGCAGTCATAGCTGATCTTACCAAACAAACCTCCAGGAGCTTAAACAGAGAAAATGTAGAAAAAAGACGATTTTTAAATTTCAGCAGAACTGCAACAAACCAGTCACCTCGCTGCTAAAACACAAAAACCACAAAAGATTTATTTCTTTCTTCTTGTAGTGAGAATGAGGAAGTTAGTGTTTGACTCCTCCTCTGTTTTTTTTTTACATTTTGTACCCTTTTTTGGTAGCATCAACTAAAGATGGACAGTTAAGACGAGGAAGAGAGAGAACGTCACCCACTAAAGGACCCAGGTTAGAACTGAACCTGGTCCACTGAGATAAGGACTCATGCTTTAAATGGTACATGCTCTAACAAACGAGCAACATGGCCCTCAAGCTGTTGTTGTATCTTTGTCTTATCTAGAGGGCCTGTTGGTTTAAAAGGTTTAATGTAGATAAGAATGATCCAGATTTGGTTCTTTCTATGTTGGGTCATGTGATCCAGCTCATTTTTAATCCCTTTTTTAGATCAATCATGGATTTGATCATCCTGATCCAGATACAGACTCTTGGGGATCAACAAATCCAGATCATCAGTCCTCTAAAAGAGACTTCACACTCCATACTTTTCCACAGGGCGCACAAAACTTAAAATAAACTGGAACATGCTCACAGTCTGTTCTGACCTTAAAGGTTTAAGTGGACCCAAAAGCAAGACCGAAAAACAGGGTGGTGGGTGAAGGGGTATTTTTTAACACAAGGCTGGTGAAGGCTGGTGATGCTTGAATGAGGGGCTGGGTGGTGAGGCGCTGGAGCTCGTAAGTTGCAGGCACTTGGGAACAAATGAGAAGACAAGGGAACAATTAGTTACAGGTATCCAAAGCACAAAACGTTTACTGATGATGCAGAGACGCCGATCTACCACGGTGTAGGCAGAAATAATCTGGCAGCTTGGGAGAGTTGAACCAGGGTATAAATGCTGCAGCCGGTGATTACAGATGACGAACAGGTGAGTGATTGCAGAGAGCATCAGCAGCCGATAAGCCACACCCGGCCTCTGAAACAACAAAAACACCAGCACCAAACAAGGAAAAATACACACAACTGTCCAATCACCACACAGTCACTTTTAATGTCATATTTTGTTTTGATGTTAATGCTATTTGGTGCAACATTTTATGTGAACAACATCACTCATTTTTTACAATCTTAATGTGTACCTTATCTACTTTGTCAGTGAAGCAGTACAGCAGGAAAAGAGCCACAGGCCGCCCACTTGAAGGAGGACTATACTATCACTAATCTTTTTATTACATATGGAAAACAGATTTGGATTCAAATCCTCAAAAGACAAAAACTGGAAAAGTCATTTTTGTATTTTCATCATCTCAAATGTCTCTTTTCATTCATCCTTATTTCTGTTTAGAACATTGAAAGCTTTCCATACAAAGGAAACAACATCGAAGCTAAAAAAAAGAAACCAGCACAGTCCTACACAATGTCATGCTCAGACACAAAAACATCAACGTCTTTATCCTCCCTTCTGTGTGAATGAGGAAGTTTGCTTCTGATGTTTTTTTTTGTTCAAACTATTTTCTATTTTGCTTTTTTTGGATAGGTGCAGTGTAAGATGGACAGTTAAGTTGAGGTAGAGAGAGAATAACAGCAAAGGGACCAGAACTGAACCTGGTCCACTCACTGTGGTGAGGACTTTAAATAGTACGTGCTCTACCATCTGAGGAACTGGATACCCCAAGCTTTGGCCGTATGTTGAGGTTGTTTATTTTATTGGTTTCATGTTTTAATATGAGTGTATAATTTAGTAGAATATTGAATACAACATACATTAGACTTCTCAGTAAATTTAAGAAAATGTAAATACATGAACAACTTCTCCTTTGTACTTACATTTCATATCACACTTCTTACAAAGCATCATCAGTTCACTTTAAACCATTTCTCTTTAACCAGAGAAGTGGTCATGAACCACACAGTGACAAACCTAACGCTTTTCACACGAGCGTTTCCTTGCACTTAGAGTGTTGTGGTTTAACACCATTGCAGCCCCCCTCCCTTACTCTCTTGTATGTTGTTATTCATTTCTCTCTGTTTCTCCTCTCCTGTGTGTCCTGAGGTGCATGGCTGTGTGATTGCATGTGGTGTAGTTTTCTGTGCAGGCAATCTCCCTCTCATTACCGGCAGTTACCTGTCTTGTTTTGTATCTGTTACGACGACGTGCTTTAACTGAATCTTTATTTGCAGTCGTGTACTCTGTACATTCTGGTGAAGTCTTACTAGGAAGGTGAACTTCTCACACATACTAAACAGAACAGGCTCCATCTGCATACACTGCGGACCAATCACAATCAGGCTCAGTCAGCAACCAATAGGAACACATGTTACTAACTTACAACACAACAGTGTTGCTAGGCAACCACAATGATATTCTGTGAGAATATTACACCCCCCCTTTTAGAAAAGATAAACGTAACACATACTTTCAATTACAGTATACATGGCATAATGTGCTGTTAGTGAATAAACCCAAATCAAAATGTTTAGTAAAATCAACTCTGCATCAGAATACATCACAGCATATAACCAATGAACATTTTTTATTTAAGGGCAGCGATCTGCCTACACCCTTTTACATTAGTTTAGAAGTCCAAAACAGACCTGGGCTTTATCTCTCGTCCGTACCTGGTCTGGTAAGGGACAGTGTGAGGAACTGTTTGAGGGACAGTTTCACTTGTGATCTGTGAGGTGAGTGATGTGGGACTGTGTGGTGTTTGCTGCTCGTTGTCATCAGGTTGTCTGTGTGTGTGTGTGTTGGGTGTTTCTTTTGTGATAAGAAGGTGACGTCTGTTTCTCCTGTACTCTTGTCCTTCAGGTGTGTGTATGTGGTAAGATCTGTTAGTGTCAGCAGGCTGAATGATGACTGCAGGCTTCCAGTATCCTGGATCTTGGAAACGGATGTTTTGTCCTTCGTGCAGCTGTGTCATCTGCTTGGCTGACCTGTCATAATATCGTTTCTGGGTTTGTTGCTGGTGAGCTCTCCTGGTATGAGCACTTTGTTGGCTGACGATCTTGGGCTGAAGCTGCTTGTGGGTGTTGGGTAGGATGGAGCGTAAGTGACGACTCATAAGTAGCTGAGCTGGTGATCTGAAGTTATCAACCGGTGTGTTGTGGTTCTCTGGGAGGCTCAGATAGGCATCCTTGTGACCAGCTTTGGCTTTTTTCAGGAGTGACTTGGCAATTTGCACAGATTTTTCTGCAAGACCATTGCTCTGGGGATAGTATGGACACACACTGATGAGGGTTACATTTTTTTGAATAATAGGAGACCGGGTGTTCCACTCTAACGTGTCCATGCTGAAGGAGGACAGCACCCACTCCTACGTCAACCGTAACTTTGAAAGGGCGATGAAACACAGGCGCAGGTAAAACCGGAGCATGAGTCATTAAAGAGCCCATATTATGCCCTTTTTGGGGTTCATATATTTAATCTATGTACCTACTAAAGTATGTTCACAATAGCTTGTAGCGGGTTTGACAAGGTTTTAATTTTGGGGTGCCAGTCAGAGTCAAGTCTGACAAACAAAAACTAAATGCAAACAAAAAAATAGCCAACCTGCACAAAATAGGAGCCAAGCAAGAGCAAAAAACAATCAAACAAAACAACAATGGGATTTCAAATATATATATTATAACAGGCATCAACCACACTGCAACAAAATGAATGTGAGCACTGCGTGTGCGTGGTTCACAGTCTGTGTGGAACTCAAAGTTTAGTCCCTTCCGGCAAAAGTTCGCTCCGTACCCACAACCCACAGTTGAGTCCATTTCAGTTCAATGTTCAAATACAAAACAAAAATTCTGCTCCGGGTTTTACCGCGGGCCTTGAAAACAAATGAGGAAACAAAGTGAAAAGAAAAACCAGCGTCTCTCTTCGCGGTGCAACAATCAAAACACAAAGAAACAAAAGACACACCAGGTACTCACGGTACCAAAGTTTTTAAGTCAGTCAGTAGGTTTAAGTCAGAGTTGGGCTTTTGAATTGCCCCCCGGGGACAAATAAAGTTTTTTTTAATTTGAATTTTCTCCTCTGGCATCTCCTAATCCAGGGAACAGCTGATCCACCAGGAACAGGGAAATAACAAATCCAACAGGTAGCCGGGCCTGACAGCAACGGACCTCCAGCGACGAAGATTTTAACAAACGGCTATACACAAACTTTCAATCACGCTCTATGCCGAGGTAACCTTCTCCTTCACTGACTTTTTTCCAATGACTGTCCGCGCCGATCACCGGTGACTTGCACCTATACAAATGCCCTTCCTGGAGGACGGATTCAGTTTGGACGGTTTTCCATTGGAGTGTGAGATGAATGTGGGTGGATGACGGAGGAACCAATGAGTGGAGGTGTGTACAAAGAGGATTCTGACTCTGCAGGCGCTACAAGCTAAAGTTCGAAAAAAGTGGCTGTTTTCATGTACTGCCGCTCCATGCACCTGCTCGCTTCTGACTCTCTCTCTAAGGCTCTGAAGTGCCCACGTTCAGAGTCCCCACGTGTGCCAAGTCTGATCTGATTGGTCGGCCTGTCGGCTCTGCTGTAATTGGTCAGTCGCTCAGCATGGTTCTCGGACATGTCATGCCCCTTTTACCATATTGGGAATGCAGCCACTTTGGCTCCGAGGGAAGCAAAAACATTAGCACCTTAGCACTACTGTGCTACCGCAGGCTACGGCATATCATGTGCGTGCTACAGAAGTTAATGGGCGTGCAACATGAGCTGCAGGGCTTGCCACAACGAGCCAATGGGCTTAGATCAGTGATATCACACTGTCACACTGACAATATTTTTTCAAGGGGGTCTAGAATCGATCGTTACATGCAGCTAATGCTGCAGCTAACAGGACGACGTAGGAGAAGCCGTGTTTCCGCGGATTTATTTTGCAAATAGATGTGTCTAAACATGCACAGGATACATGGAAAACACACTAAAGAGCATATAAAACCAGAAAAAGAATAATATGGGCCCTTTAAGGCCTTTACGCAGTCAAACGCGCCCTGGCAACTGTCAGACCACTCAAAACGTTTCTTGGGACTCAACAGGTCGGTGAGCGGAGCCGCAACAGCAGAGAAGTTTTCTACAGAAGCTACGATAATATCCTGCCATCCTCAAAAAACGGCGAAGAAGAAGCAGGGAATGACAGTATAGCCTCTACTTTAGAGTGCACCGGCTTGACTTGCCCCTGACCAACGATTTTTCCCAGAAATGTAACTGTACCCTGGCCAAATTCACATTTTGCTAAATTTAGCGTGAGATTAGTGTCACGCAGCCTGTCAAACACCGTCCGCAGTTGTTGTATATGTTCGTCCCAGGTGCTCGAGTACACCACAATGTCGTCAAGGTACGCCTCACACACCTGAGAGCACCGTATTAACCAGACACTGAAAGGTTGCAGGCGCAATTTGCACACCGAACGGCATCATCGTATACTGCAAAAAAGAGTCAGACGTAACAAATGCAGAAATTTCCTTGACTCGAGGAGTTAACAGCACCTGCCAGTAGCCTTTTAGTAGATCGAGTTTAGTTACAAAGTTAACACTATACCGACATGGTTAACACAATCCTCAACTCGAGGCAGAGGATAACAATCTCCATTCACTTTCCAGAAATCCGTACAGAAACGATCAGAGCCGTCAGATTTACCCGCAAGGAGGCACGGCGAACTCCACGAACTACAGCTGGGACTCCAGCATGTAGTCAACCTGATTGTTTAGACAGAGACGTTTTTCAGGGTTGACTCTGTAAGCGTGTTGTTTTATCGGGGTTGAATCCCCCACATCAATGTCGTGCTCTAACACATGAGTTTGAGTCAGAACATCAGAAAACAAGGAATTATGAGATTTTATTAAAATAAGCACATCCTCGCGTTGGACCTGATTTAAATGTGGAAAACAAGCATCAAGTTTGGACAACATCTCAGATGGACAACTCCGGTGCCGCTTTGACCCGATCGATAAGTTCAGCACTGGACATCGCCAAAACTGCTTTTCTCACTTCACCGAAAGGGAGTAAAGGAGCCGCATGTCTCTCAATGTAGGGCTTTAACATGTGACAAAATCTATTACGTCGCATGCGTTGTTGAGTGGCTATATATATATATAGAATATATATAGGCTATATTCTATATATAGAAAGTTAAACATCAGGGCCCATATTCACAAACATTCTGAGAATCCTCTCTGAGACCTCCTAACTTCACTTAAAAAATCCTAGAGAGGATTATTGTCTTAGGAGTGATATGGGAACATTCTCAGAGCGACTCTGAGCACAGAAGGGAGGAGGCATAGTTGACCCCGTTGCTATGTATGACACATTTTTTTCAGAAGCTGTGATTGGTTGATCCAAATAATGGAGAGAAGTGCTCTCTAGTGATAATGGACATAGACAGACAGTGAAATCCATAGGGCTCTATCATAGAATCGAGTCAGACATTATGTTATTATGAACACTATGAAATAAACACGTGTGATAATTATTCAAATGTACACATGATGAGAGTTATATCAGCATTCATTAGATATTGGATTTACCTGTTGAGGTAACCAGGAACTCAACATGCATGTCTCACTTTGCACTGACAAAAGTCTAAGATGGACTCTTAAGGGCTAAGACGCTTTGTGAATAAGTTGAATCATTACAATGATCTAGTCTTAACTTTAAGGGGAAATTCTTAGAAGTTGTCACTAGGAGCAACTTTTAGTATTTAGGAGGCTTCATGAATAAGGCCACAGCGTTACATTAAAAAATATCTCCTTATACATTTAAGTGGGAAAGTAGGGAACAGACTACTTTCCTCTTCCTGCATACAAGCAAGCTTTGCATGACGTAAATTACACATAATACAAATTATTAACTAATAAAGATCATAGAAGGAACCTATAAAAAAGCAATAGTACATTAAGTTAATTTATTTATTACACATACAATTCAGACTATAAACATATTTAAACATCAAAGATTATTTTTCTCAGAATCAATCAAATATTCCTTCAGATTTTCAGTTTCTTCTTATCAAAAGTCTCACTTATCATCCTTGTTTGTCTTTTGAAAATTGTTTTTCATAAGAAATAAACAGCATGACAAAACCGAGGTTCTCCTAATCGGCACCAAATCCACAATTTCAAAACCTGACAGTTTTTCTCTCCCTGTTGATCACTCCTCAGTTTCTCTCTCCCCTCAGGTTTAGAGTCTGAGTGTCCTCCTCGACAGCACACTATCCTTCAGAGCTCACATCAATAATGTCACTCGGCCCGCTTATTTCCATCTACGTAACTTAAATCACCTCCGCCCGTCCCTCACATCCAACAGTACCTCCATCATCGTTCAGACCCTTTTTAAATATCCCATCCTCACTGTTCCCCCTCTCAAGCCCAACCACAAAGTTCAACTGGTCCAGAACTCTGCTGCTTGCATCCTCTCGTGACCCCCCTCCATTAATCACATCGACTTCAAGATTCTGCTCCTCACCTTTAAGTCCATCCATAACCTCGCTCCTCTCTACCTCTCTGATCTCCTGCACATCAACACACCCACCCTCACTCTCAAGTCTTCTTCTTCCATTCAACTCACTGCACCACCCACCCGCCTGTCCACCATGGGGTCCAGGGTCTTCAGCCTCTCTGCCCCCCGCCTCTGGAACTCTCTCCCACCACACATCTGTAAGATTGACTCTCTCTCTATTTTTAAATCTCATCTCAAAACACATCTTTTAAAACGGGCATTTTCTGTCTGATCATTTTCCATCCTATCTCACAAAGATTTCATACTCTGTAAATTTGTCTTTTTAATGTTAATTTGATGGATGTATTGTTACTCTGTTGTTTTTATCTCTGCTTTGTAAGGTGACCTGGAGTGCTTTGAAATGAAATGTATTATTATTATAAAAGAAGCTAATATAAAAAATAATAATACAACAAAAAATACCATAGACCAGCACAGTCCTTCACAGTGTAATGATTTGGCTGCAGTACATTACAGTATTTTTATGTTATCTGCCTTTGAACAAAAACATCCTTCCTGTCGTATCCCATCCTTTGTTCATCACTAACCTGCTGCAAAGAAAAAACATTTAATACAGAAAAGAGAAATAGAGATATTGCATTTAAGATGAACATGAAGTCATCCTCTTCTCCTTCATGAAGCTTGAATCATAACCACTCTGTTGACATAGTCTGCTTCTTCTGCGTCCTGTTTGAATGAAACAACACAGAGAGAGTGGTGTCAGTGCTGTGTGGTGACTTTGATGCAGCTACAAGAGACAAACCAGCAACACTTGAAGTTTATCTCTGCAAATCAAAGTCAGTTTAAGTTCTCCTGAAACACTTTTCACTGTTACCATCTGGTCTCCTGTCGCTGCTGTTGGACCTGAATATCTGAACATCATTTTCTCTGGATCAATTACTTTATGTGACTGTGTTGATCAAATCTTCAAAGAGAGCTCCTCAGATAACTTCTCTCTTTTATAACACGTGCTTCAATCTCATTTTGTAGAAAGTGCGGGTCGACGGCAGCACATCAAAAACCATCGTCATGAGCACTGGGGCCCCCCAGGGTTGTGTGCTCAGCCCCCTGCTCGTCACGCTGCTGACCCACGACTGCGCTCCATCCTTCAGCAGCAACTACATTGTGAAGTTCGTGGACGACATAACAGTGGTTGGTCTCATCTCCAACAACGATGAGACGCACTACAGGATGGAGGTCAGCCAACTGGCCACGTGGTGCAGAGACAACAACCTCTTCCTGAACGTCGACAAGACCAAGGAGGTTGTTGTCGACTTCTGGAGAGTCCCCACTCCTAAACCCCCACTGACCATCGACAGTGCTGCTGTGGAGAGAGTGAGCAGCACCAAGTTCCTGGGGGTTCACATCAGTGAGGATCTCTCCTGGACAACCAACACCACATCACTGGCCAAGAAGTCCCAGCAGGGCCTCTACTTCCTCCGCAAGCTTAAGAGAGCATGAGCCCCCCCATCCATCATGTGCTCCTTCTACAGAGGCACCATCGAGAGCATCCTGACCAGCTGCATCACTGTGTGTAAGCTGCACTGCTGCCAACCGCAAGACCCTGCAGCGCACAGTGAAGGCTGCTGAACGGATTATCGGTGTCCCACTCCCCTCTCTTCTGGACCTCTACGGTACCCGCCTCACCCGCAAAGCAACCAGCATTGTGCATGACCCCACCCACCCCTCACACAGCCTCTTCAGCCTCCTGCCATCGGGGAGACGGTACCGCAGCCTGCGGGCCGGCTCCACCAGACTGGGAAACAGTTTCTTCCACCAAGCTGTCAGGAAGCTTAACTCTCTCCCCTCTCTTCCTTCCCTCCCCCTCTGCCCCCACGAACACTGGGCGTTGAAACCCCCTCTCATTATCCACCAAGAACTTTGGACTAAAAACTCTGTACACTCAGTTTACTGCACATTGCAATTACTGCACAAGTTCACTTTTTCTTTAAAATTTATTTTATTGTGTTTTATTTACTACCTTTTGCACAATTTAGAATTTATTACTGTAAATATTATTTATCTTATTTTTACCTCATTTTATTTATCTATTTTTACCTTATCTTATTTTACCTTATTTTGGTTGTTTTGCACCGCGGGACGGAGACAAACGAAATTTCGATTCCACTGTGTGTCTGGCATATTTTGAAATTGACAATAAAGTTGACTTTGACTTTGACTTTGAATGATGAACCTGTCCTCATCTAGTAACTCACCTTCACCTGTTTGTTGAAGCATCTTGACTTTAACCAGCTGAAAGAAAAAGAGATCAGATAAAAGGAATTAGAATCAAACACTGACACTGTAAAAATAAAAATGCAATGAGATGAATAACATGAGCCACACATCTCCATTTCTTATGACAGTTTGTCTCACCACTCAAAGATGATGACTGAATTGAAATGAAATATTTCGGTGACCCTAGAGCCTACAATGGTGACTTTTTTTTTAAAATGATATCCATGTTAAAAAATCCCTTAAATTATGCAAAAACACAGTTTCCAAACTAAGTGTCATAGTTTTGGCTAAAAGAGACCCCTACTGTTCAAACTGAGTACTGCTACTAAAAACTGAATTGGAAAGAAATTATGTTGTTTTTGGTAGGTAAAAGAAATCCTCAGAATTGAGTGAAAGCCAAAACTCCCAAACCAAGTGCTGTAGTGTAAACAACATGATATGGAGTATATGTGATGATGTTTATGTCACCCTATAACTTATAATAGTGACTTTATCGATAATTATACCTATCAAGAAAACCTTGAAGTTATATGAAAGCAAATTGTAATACCTGAAGCACATTTTACCAAACTAAGAGTTGTAGTATAATCAAGAGGACATGGTTTATGTGTGCTGTGAGTTTGATGGCACTACAACATGTTATAGTAGTTCTTACATATTTTATTACCAAATTTAATGATAAGAAACCACTGAAATTACATGAAAGCCCTTTATCCAAAGCAATGTGATGTAGTTTATAGAGCAGGAGGACATTTATTCACAATGGGTTTTTGTTTTACCCTACACTTTACAAAAGGGATTTTATTGAACATTGGGTTATAAACTATGGCTGTAATAGGCTATTAAAAAATCCTCAATTTTTATTTTCCAATCAGAGAAATGTAGTATGAAAAACGTGAGATCACATATGTGTAAAATGATTTTCATGACACTACATGAAAAGTTATTGTTTATTTCTGTATCATATGTTTTTCGGCGTTGCAATTTGCAGACGGTCCCTGCGCATTCGAGCACCAGCCGGCTCTGCGTAGAGGCCAATGCAAGTTCCCCAGCGCGGAGGACGGCTCGTTTTGAGGAAAATACGAATGTAGCTCGCAGCAGTCTATCTTGTTGTGATTGCAGAGAGGTGTCGGTTTTGTAAGAGCAATGTTCCGCTGATGAGTTATTGATCCGGGAAAACCGAATCTGTGAATATATTTCTAACTTTACCAAAGTCATTTAGAAGTGATGTCGCGCTGAAACTTTTAGGTGCTCAACACAACACGTTCACCTCTGGGTGACCTAAAAATGAACCATCTGTAATTAAAATCAGCTAATATTAATTTTAATTTACTGTTTTTACAATAAACATCAGGCTCAACGCCGGTGTCCACAACCTACACTTAGTCAGGATGTGTGGAGACGGTCTGGGCCATTACGCATGGCGGAGATGATTGTTTTTTATTTGCACGAGCTGCTCTTTGTGGCTCACTCCATAGGAAGCTTTGTTATCATTAGTAAAACTTTAGTTTTACATCAGTCAAGACAGGAGAAACTGGAAAGAAGTGTGAAGAACTGAAGACCGTCATGATGCGCGCGCAGTGCAGCGGTGTGCCTGTCGTTTAGTCCCGTAGCTTTGATACAATTCTGGCAACTTGTGAGCAAATAAAACTAAAGAAATATCCCCCCTACGATCTCTCTTGAAAACCTGCATTCTGTGTCACCTCTCTCAGCTGTTCAGCCTGTTTGCTGATTAGCGTAATGCAGGAGCAGCTCGTGCGCTCGGCCACTCGTCTTTTCTATGATACTCCCTGCTGAGAAGATAATTCAAAGTGCCCCGTTTAATTAATATTCGTATCATGATATCAACATTTACGTTGCTCATTTTTACATAGGTTTTAATACAATTCGGGGAAAATACGTATTACAAATCTTTAATTTATAAAATACCTCAAAATAGTTTTCAATACATTTCCTCCTTCTTCCCAAAACGGCCGGATGAAACCTGCTGTCGGGCCGTATGTCTGACATCCCTGATAGAGGATGTTAATGAGAGCCTAAGAAGTAATGTGGTGTGCTCTGGTCTTTTTCTCTCTTGTTCACAAAGTCAGTCTAAAACATTTCACTTTTCAGTCAGGACATGAAGAGATGAAAGAAGAAACTCTATCTGCACTCTTCTCTCTGCTTTGTTTCTACAGGAAGTTCAAACTGTACAGATTAAACATCTTTGAATGAAAGTAAGTGAACAAACAGCTCACCTGAAAGAGAGAAGACAGTCAGTAACATGATGGCTGTTACCATGTTCACTGACAGGACTGCAGTAACACCCATCACCTGGAATTAAAAACTAAGTTACTCTTCAAAGTCCTCGTTAAAGAGTTGGATGAACAAAACAGTCATTTTCACTTAAAGAAAATAAAAGCTGCTGAAAACTAAAACAATAAAACATAAATAGCAGTCATAGCTGATCTTACCAAACAAACCTCCAGGAACTACACTTCTTGTAGTGAGAATGAGGAAGTTAGTGTTTGACACCTCCTCTGTTTTATTAAAGTGTTTCCCTTTTTTGGTAGTGTGTTTAAAGACAGATATGAAGGCTATATTAACCTATAGGTCCTGATTGGCCTCGGCTTCAAATGTGTTGCTTCAAGGAGAGCAGGAGACGTGCATTCAGTTCCCCAATCATATTTATTTAAAAATGATATACTTGGTGCTGGAGTACCTGAGCAAATAGAAAGCAACACAAAGTTTAATAGAAAGGTATTTTTTATTTCACAATAATAAATATCTAAAAGTTATAGCTACTGATTTAAATAAACTATAACAAATATAACCAGACAGGGTACTTACCGCAGGGAGATTCTATCACAGACTCCACTAGATACCACCACGTGAGCTCACTGTGATCACTAACGCTGCAACTTACACTGCAAGAAAAAAGACAATCTTCCAAACACTTGAGTGTCCACCACCAGCAGGCCGACCACACCACATGCAAGAAGTGGTCTGGATCCCACACGTACTCCCCGCAGCGCGTCCCCGCTGCCTACAAATAAAATAAAACAAAGACAAGCATGAAGTCCAGTTGGTTCAGTTTCACATAAAGGTTACACATTCATGGGTTTAAATATGGGCAGGTACGCAGTAAATTATCCACCACAACATGGACAGTGAGCACAACAACCATGGCCGAGTCCAGTTCAACAAACAATCTCAGCCAGACGACATGGATGAACTGATTCAGGCAAAGCAGCAGTCTGACACTCGTCTATAATGAGGAAGACATGGTAAACATCATTTATATAAACTAGATAAAACACCTTGGAGGGAAGATCCCTCCTTCATTATCAGTTAAAGTTACCTCGCTCAATCTGAGGCCCTGATTAAAGGAGACACCTGGAAGGTCAGCAGGCTGACACTGGGAGGGAGTCAAAGGCTGAATTTCCTAAAGAATTAAATTACATTAGTCATAGGCCTACAATTAATCATACAACAACAGTTATTTGTAGCCTACCTCTTCAACATGAGCCTACAGAGCATATCAGTCAGGGTAAATCAGGACACAGCTCATTACATCTGAATGAACAAGAGAAACCTCATTAAGTATCTGACCAAAGCACACAGTCACTGTTTCTCCCCAGAGCTCCCTTACCGGCACACACCAAGCAGTCCCACCACACATCTACCAGGAAACTCTCCCTCAACCTACCTACAGAGGGCAGTGTTCTCAGCTCACACATCAGCCCTCACAGGTAGCATCAACTAAAGATGGACACTTAGAAGAAAAGAGAGAGAATGACACCCACTAAAAGACCCAGGTTAGAACTGAACCTGGTCCACTGTGATAAGGACTCTGCTTTAAATGCTTCATGCTCTAACAAATGTGTAACATGGCACCCAAGCTTCATTGGTTCCAAAGGCCTGACCAATTACCTCGGATCATGTGGCCCCTTACAATCTATGAGGTCCCAACTTCAACGTTGGAGAAGCTGGAAAGAGGGGTCACAGGATAGATTAAGAAGTGGCTTGTAGTCCACACTGCCTGACTTCCATAATTCTCTATGGAGATTATGTCCTTAAAACTGCCCTCAGCAGTCTCACGGAGGAGTTCAAATGTGCTAAAGTAAGACTTTAGATGACACTGAAGGAATCCAGAGATGCAGTGGTGAGGAACAACGCACCAACCCTGGCAGCAGCGGAGCAAATGGAGACCAGCAAGAGCAGTGGAGGAGGACAGCTGCCCTTAGACATGCAGACATCGTGGGCATGTTCAACAAGGAAGAGGAGGATTGGGTTGATCATGTTTTACCACCACATGATCATGTAGAACACAGAGACACAATATGTCCTAGAATCTGGTGTTTTGAATTGCAGCAAAAAAAAAAAAACGACATAATTACAGACGTCTCTGCTGAGGTGGAGAAATATAACATGTCGCATTCTGCTGCTCGTTGCCTCACATGGAGAAGTGTGCACATCATTTATTTTATATTATCTTCTCAAAGACAGTAATCATCAACCACATACTCCTTGCGAGCTTTAATACC